CACATGTGCAATTGGGTGCATTTTCCACTGGTATTCGTCGGAAATGGCAAGAATATAGTGTATATTGAGATCAATGTATGTACATAGATTTGATTGACTGATTATAACTGTCCAATCGGCTTCAAACTGTCCTTAAAAAAATGTATTCAAATTATTTAAAGAAGTATTCGCCATCTTAGAGGGAAAATGCGGATCAGAGGTTGTATAAATGAAAATCTATTTTTTCCAATTTGTGCTTTTCAAAAGCTTGTGAAATATAACTTCAGCCGTGGAGCCCAATACTGGTCGGTACTGGTCGATTTCCACGCGCGCAGAATGAATGTCCAAAATTTCAGCTTAAAATCGTAAACCGTCCTGCCTGGATATACGCATTGATAGATTTCGCATTCCATGCTCTTTTATAAGCCGCATTTTATCCAGTTCGAACAACACTTCGCATTCATCATTCTCGCCGCCACCCCAAATTTACTTAGTAATTACTTTTAATTACGTGTGTGCGCATATAATAAACTTAATTTGTAAATTCCTGAATGAGCTAATTAGGTAGCATTCGTTTTTTTGTTGTTGTTGTTGTTAAGCCTTGGTCAATTTTAGTGGTCAATTAAACAAAAACGCGTAATTGAGTGACATTGCTCGATGAGTGAATTAAGAGATGAGGGAGCAGAAAAACGAGAGAGGGAGAGAGAGGTTCATACTTTATTTAATTTCCGCGGCATTGTTGAATTGCAGTCGGGTATGATTAAAAATAAAACGCCCTTTAATTATATATCAGTGCGAAAAGGCACTGCAATTAACTTTGCCATTATAAAAATATTTGTTGTAATTCAATAAAATTTTGTTTGAAAATGATTGCAATTTAGATTGTTTTTGGCCAGAAATTTCAGCATATTTGATTCCCTACGGTTAAAATGGAAAATCATAAAAATACCTAAGATGAAAAAAAATTGGAAAAAACAATCAAATTATTCAATAATGAAATTCTTGTACTACATATGAGAGTACGGCTAGATTATCGCGTGTCCAGTGAGTAAACGCACACAAATTCATTTCATTTGAAGTGCAGAAAAACAATAAATGAATACAATTCGAATAATTCAAGCAATTAAATGCGCATCAATGTTAAATTATTTCGTTTATATGAAATTATTTCGCCCCAACTATGCAGAATGGCATTTATAAATGTTTATTAAACGTGCATATGTATATGTGCATGCATATTAAAACATGCCTGGTATGTGTGTGAGAGTGGGTATGTGCGTGTGTGTGTGTGTGTGTGTGTGTGTGTGAATACAATAAATAAATACAATGGACTCAGTTGAGCCATGGCACCTGCTGCAGAACTATATAAATCCTCTTAAAAGCTTACAGCATATAATATGCAACAAATATTATAAAAGTAACTAAATAGAAATATACTTAATAATGATCTGTAATGCATATAATTTATTTCTTTCGTACACTTAAGAGCACTTCGTTCCAATAGAATTCACTTATGCCTAAAAATGCGCTTCCCGCGCTGCTTTCAAGTGAGTAATTTATGACTTGTTTTTATATAATTGAAATCAAAACAATTAATTTAAATCAAGACAAGTCGAAAGGCGAAAAATCATTTGCCAAACAATGCCGAACAGCGGGCACAATTTCAGCCATGAATAACTAAATGAATAGCAGAAACGAATCCCTGCTCCATGTCAACGTAAATGACAGGAAAACCAGCTCGGGTTGAGCGCGCGGGCGGTAGACACACACTTGCACAGAGAATACGTTAACGCACGGCCTGGCAAGGAGAGACACACAAACAACAACAGGCCAAGCAGCTACGAGGCCCCACCAACCAGCTGCCCCCGCATGGTCGCCCACAATGCCGCTACTTAAGCTGGTCTACGTGCGCAAAGGACACACACGCAAATAACTGCGGGGTAGCTTTTAATTATCTCGTTATTTTTTAATTTCCAGCATTTCACTGATTTCATTTTGAGCACATTGAGCGCAACGGGCGGTGGCCCGTCGTGAATGTCGCCAATCCTGCAGACATTTGCCCACGACCACCCCTTTGAGCCGGAGGAGCCGGCTCGAGGCAACTTGACGCCAATTGAATGAGAAATATGCATTAAGCGGAATTGAAGCAATTTTAAGATGCAACCAATTGTCAGCTGGATATACCTTTAGTCTTACCTCCGGCTTTAACAGCCCCGCACTAATTGTTAACGTTCTAATGAGCCGACTTTAAAGCCTCACAAAAGCTCTGGTGTAAAGTGAGACGAAAAACAATTAACTAGTCTACCCCTAAAACCCGCACGTCAACATCAAATTAGTTTGAGGATTAACACGTTTTTTACATGTCCTGCCAGCGAGCGAGAGGAGGTCAAAGGGGTTGCTGGTAGTTGGAAAGGTGTGAGCAGCGGGCGGGTGTGGGCGGTGGCTTGTCCGTGCTTAATTACGCATACGACACGTTGACTGGCAGTTTTTTAGTTTATTTGTGTGGGCCCCTTGCTCAGTTGGGCATGAAATGGGTTTATAGTTACCAATTATTTTCGGTCATGGCTAAAAATGTGCCCCGACCTGTCTATTATTAACAACTGAAACTATATTAAGCATCTCATTTGGGCAGCCATGGTCCCTTTTTCTGCCCCTTCGCTGCGTGACTAGCTGCCGAGTGCAGGGATTATGTGCATTTAAATAAAGTTTTGCTCGAACTGACAAAGTTTGCAGCCAGCTCCAAATAGGCTTCATTGCGCCATTGTCATGTACCCGATGCCCGGCGCTCGGCACTCTGTCAATATATCTTTAAGCTAAAATCACTGGCACAATGTGCGTATTGTCTGGCTCCAAATTTAATTCTTACGTGACTGATTTATGGAGTCTTCGTGTGGAGCAACAGCAAGAACTGTGGCAATGTATTGGGCTACACAGAAACGCATCGATTGCGAGCAAAGCTCATAAATAAAGGCAGACAAACCTCGGCTTGGCTTAAAATAAAAGTTGCTGTTGCAAAACAAAATTCAAAAAAGAAATAAACCAAGAAAACACAATAAAACTGCGCTGCATCGCATCGAACAAAAAATCTTGTGCTGATTTACCCGCTGCGCCCCGAGTGCAGCAAACAGCCACTAATAAAAGTTTCTGCAGTTCACAGGCGTTGATGTTTGTTGTGCGGCTATACTTTCAATGCGGTTGCACACACACACATGCACACGCACACACACTCACGAATGCCGGCCAGCGGAGAAAATTTTTGGCTTTTGTGGAATTTCAACAGCAAATGGCTATCAACCGCAAGGCAACACAGCATCCGGCATCATCCAACTTTTCGACACACGTACGCCTGGGAAAAAGTTAATTTGGCCAACACTTTAATAATGAGGTTTGTATTGAAGCCAGCCAGCTTGATTGACTCCTAACGTTGCCTATTCTCTCTACGGATAACTCCTTTTTAATGAACTGCTGCCTAAATTACGTAGGCCGTGCAAGTTTGTCAAACAACAAATTTAAGACTACGGATTTTTTCAGCTCGTGATGCTAAATTTATAAAAAAAAAAAAAAAACCTATACATGTGTATGTTTATACACATTTTTATATATTTAAACATAAAATCGTTAAATTTTTAAAAATTTGTATAGTGGCGTTAGCTAGCGGAAATTATGGAAGCACAAATCAATACGACAAAATGTGCTGCCATATCGACTATAAAAAGTACTCATGCAAGCAGTGCATCATTTGGTGTCAACCGTTAGCAAAGCAGTTAAAGTATTTGAATTATAGTTTCAATTTGGATTTAATAAAACTTGTAACTGAAAAACGGATTTTAATTATTAATTCATTTAAAGTATGGCCAATCTGTCTTGTTTGGCATCTCTTGATTGTCCAGAAAATATCAACAATAAGAAAAAACAATAATTAATAAAGATTATTCGTTTGTCCGACAGTGATTCATTTGACTCCAGCCCTGTGCTCTGCTCATATATAATAAAATAATATTGTACTGAATAGAATTTAAGTTAAACATACCAATGATTTAGCTAAGTGAAAATATTGTAATATATATTAATATATATACTCTATGGTCATCTGTGTTTCTTATGATACCTTAAAAAGACTGAAAAAGTCTTTCCTTTTCTTGCCATACAAAATATGTTGGCAAAGCAGTGACTCTCAAGCAGTGACAACAAGCAGTTCACAATTTGAATTAAATTCAGGCTCTGATTTAAGGCTACGAAATGAAAAATGGATAATCACAATCTATATCTATCTATACACAAGAGTTTGTCTTGACTGACTGAATGACTTAATGACCAAATGATGCCCAATTAAAAAGAAAACGAATTCGTTACTGAATTTATAAAATTAAGACGTGGGCGCTAATAGAGCGATTTTTTCATTTTTAAAGTTGATGAGAGTTACCCAAATGATTTCGATACTTGCAATGCAAGGTTATTCATATGACCCCAAAGATGACCCTTAATTTCATCTATATATGGCACCAAAAATGTAGCCGACAGTTGATTAAATGAGTGTTACAAATGTTATTAACCAATACACACCTCGACCAAGTCCCGTCGGGAAATGCTATTATTTAAACAACAATAATAATATTATTGGAATGAAATGGCATTTTGATCTATTGAGCTAGAGAGATTTATAGGCAAGGAAAAGGAAACCCTATGACTATAACAAGTCAAACATATATTTCCTGCTTTATATGTTATATGCATATGTCACAATTGTATAATCCGTATAATCCACTTCTAGAGTTGTCACGAAAGAAACGCAATTAAACTGGCTAAGTAACATCCAGTCCGTGCACCGCTGTGAAAACCACTCAAGAAAGTGGCTGCCAGCGGAAGTAAGTTTTTGCTTACTGGCAAGCATATATTCAATTAGGTGTTTGTTGCTGAGACAAATTGATTAATTTGCCAACAGAAACCCAACGGTCCCCTGGCAACCGTCAAGCAATATAAATACAATAAGAACTCTGCACTTCGGCAACAGTCGGTGTAGAACCAGTTTTCAGCAAACAAACCCGCCGCCAACAGCGAAGCCTCGTTTTGGCCAAAAACCCACGTATTCGCTGAGACCGAGCATCGCTTCCAGATCTTAAGATCAACTACCGGTGAGTGTCGAGTACTATTTTGTGTACGTCACCAAACCAATTAGACAAAAGCTGCTGTCAGTTCAAGTGTCACGCCCACTAAACGGCTGTGACGTATAAGCCGCGTTTAGCGCTCGATTCACATTACTCATACGTACGGCGCGTGTTGGCAATTAGCTTAGAAAAATATTAACAAATCGCTTATGTGGCATAAAATTAGCATAACTAGAAGTTTTCCCACGATTTAAATAGCTGACTAGTTAATAAATGATTACCAGCATTTTGTTTGAGCAACAATCGTATAAAATGTAAACAAAACAATGCTTTAAACAGACTTCGAGATGCCGATGCTTAGATACCCTTGCGTACATACGGTATGCTACCTGCAATTTACTCTCATGGGCAATTGATAAGTGTCTTGCCAATTAGTATATATCGCTGTTAAGAATTCGTTGTTAAGCCTTATTTCAATTTAGGCCTGTTTTAGTTATTGGTTCGGGGACGATAATATCTATAATTGATCGACGAACTGACGACCAGCTTAAGCAGGACAGCCTTTGAAGGCAGGGAAAACGTTGCCAGCCTGAGCACAGGTATACATATTATATTCGATAGGAAATATCCGGGTGTCACACAATTCGCGTCTTAGCTGTGATACCTTCTTTTAGGGTATTGAAAGTGACGCTACAGATGACTGGCTGCCAGACAGCTTGTAGCCGCTGGCCGTAGCGTTAAACCAGTCGCTGGCATCGTGTCCGGTTGGCACAAAAGAATTTCACGCATTTTATTGGGGCGTAACTTATTATTATTGCTGCTCCGGCTGGGTCTACGGCGCCGGCGCCAACTCCCGCTGGCATCTGGACTAGCTCTGTCCGTTTCCTTGACACTTCCTGCTGTTACTTTCCATGCGATTCTCTCAGCTTTCTTTCCACAAGTCGGTGCATTTTGATTCATTTTATTTGTTCTTGAGAGTGGGGAATTTTGTTGTATTTTAGATGTTTTTTTTAATACTTATTATACCTTATCCTCTGATTTTAAATAGATACAATTTTACTTTGCAAAACAGATAGTGTTTTTTTTTTTAGAACGCAATATTTGTAAACTCGTAAACATATGAATTTATTTTCTTAATTTACTCATTCCAATTCAAATACAAAAATATTTAACAAGTCATTGTCTTTGCCATAAAAATACCATAAAATCTGTTAGCCAGATTATTATGCAAAACTTAACAAGGGCCCACGCGACTTCGATGCTTTAGGTTCTGGCAGCTCCTTGCAACCTTTAGTAAAAAAAAAAAAAAAATGTCCAGCCCACATATAATTTACATATAGAACATCGAGCAAATTGGCATTTTATTGAATTTGTATTAATTTTATAGTTTTTTTCCAACTTCTTCTTCCTTCTTTTTGTTCACATAGCTGACGCACTGGGTGCTCTCTGAGACCGGCTTGAAGCGCTGTTGCTGTTGCTGTTGTTGTTGTTGTTTTTGTTGCCGCAGTTTCAGACTTCTTGACGTTGTTAAGCTTTCGCATCTGGGTTTGGTTGCCTATAAAATAACAAGAGACAAACGTGCGTTTTATTATTTCAACATCGCACTTGGCGCGCAACGGTCGCATATGCTACAGCGCTTTACTCTATCATAAGCTAGAAAATTTAGAAACCACACACACGCACACATATACATCTATCTATTTGCTTGACAGAGATCTTGACCATTATCAGCATGTGCAACAATAGGACTCTGCTGCTACTTAGCATTGTACTGACCGCTCTGTGTCTGCTGCAGTGTGGCGAGGCGCTTCCTTCCATAGGACACTATGGCAAGAGATTTGGTATGTGATCAAAGCCACAGGGAGAAATTCCTTATATTATATTATATTTTATTTTTATTTTACAGATCCCATGGGCGGCATTGATTTCATTCAGATTTGCCTTAACAACTGCGCTCAGTGCAAGAAAATGTTTGGGGACTACTTCCAGGGCCAGACCTGTGCCGAGTCCTGTCTCAAGTTCAAAGGCAAAGCCATACCGGATTGCGAAGATATTGGCTCTATAGCGCCGTTTCTGAACGCGCTCGAATAGAGGTTTCAAAGATTTATCCGACTCTTATAAACTGTATGTGTATGTGTGTGAGGAGTGTGTGGATTTTTATCGCCTGTGACTCAGACGCGTATTTGGGTCAATGCGATGCGATGTTCAACACGATCTTGGCTGCTGCCGAACACGACCACAACCACGATGACGACAACACTGAAACTGGCGCTTGCTATATACGATTTAATGGCTTTAACTACAATATTTTACTAGAGTTTCCGGCAAAACCTCAGCTCAGCACGTAACCAAAGAAGTTCCTATAGTACTTACTTACCAACTAACATATGGTGTTAACCAGCATTCAATAATAACAAGAATTTAAAGAAACATTAACTTTGTTTTTATTTTTTATTTAAATGATAGTTATTGCATATACAAAACTTACAACGGAATATTCGTATGTTTAAACATTATTAAAGGTCTTGTATGTTGTTAAACGACCTTCTTGTAACTTACCCTGTATTTTTGCTATTTTAAAATAATACATATATACAAAAAATGTATGGAAAATGCATGGAAATGTTGAAAATCACTATAGAAAATGGCAGTGTGAAACTAAAACTGACTGTCTTTAGAATGCATTAGTGCGAAGGATGCGTTGCAGCAAGAGAGAAGACTAGTAAAAGAGACTAAGCGGTAGTGGAAGATACTAAGAATGTAGAACTGAAAAACAAATGCCAAAGACTTGTGGTTTTTGGCTTCTTGCCAAAGGTGTACAGCTATGTCCAATATGGTATGTATGCAGAAAAATAATTAATAAAATGATGTTTACTTTCTAAAGTTGAGCAGCGTGTCGGGTATTTCATTGATATAGTTCTGGAAATTAAATACAAAATTTAATATATATATTTTGCATAATAAATCCAATCGACTTACATAGACAGACGAGTCCAGACCGTGACTGCCGAAGTCAGCCCACTTGCTTAGATCCATAGAGGGTATAATGCCGCTCTTACATGGCACGCGTGGATTGCTATGGAGAGCGTAAACTTAGAGCGCATCTTAATTGACAGCTATAAACTTACATTTCATGATCTGGCAGAACCATGGGATAGATTTGCACGGTGTCAATCAAATCGGTATTGTCGCAAATCAAACGCGACAGCTTCGCCTTGCGTATTTCCTGCAGCTGCTCGGGTGTAAAGGAGGAAGGCTGATTGGGCAGTTCATACCAGAAGCGATCGCCGCGACGCAAGTAGCTCATCTGTGTGGCAATTATACACGCAAACGTTGGTCCCAGCATGGAGCCAGGCAGAGATTTCTCCGATACGCCACCAGACCATAAATCAATATCGGCAGGATGTCTAACAAAGAGTGAAAGGAGCAAATGTTTATAAGCTTAGTTCAACAGACTAATTTACACTCACTCGAATATGCTGCCATAGCGTAGTACTGTCTCGTTTGGCATGGAGCCGTACATCTCGTCCCACGTATTGGATGTGGGCAGACCGCAGAACTTGCGGAACTCCATGTAGCCGGGTATGCCAAATTCGCGTCCACGCTGCATGTTGAATGAGACCAAATCCATGCCAAAGCGTGCGCCCTCTTTTTTAAAGAGATGATTAGTGACCTCTTGGGTGATGGAGTCATCCATGGCTTGTGCCACTTGATTCATTAGACCCATAAAGTATTCATCCAGCACGCCAGCCCTATACAAATCATAGGGACGTCGAATAAGGTCCGACAAACGCTTGGAGGCTATGAATTTGTGTGCCTTCGACCAGCGCTCCACGGCGGTGGGCAGCAAAGAGTGGCCAAAGCGGAATGCAGCGCCAGCAAATGAGTCAATGATGCCAGGATTGACGTTCGGATCATATCCATCCCAGTAGCCATCCTTCTGCAACACCAGGCCAAACTTCTCCATCACTTCCTTGCCTAGCAAAATGGGTAGAAACTCGTTGTAGGTGACATGCTGCACTATGGCAATGTTGATGCGTCGCGCCTCCTGGAATAGAGTCTCGTCATCCCAGTGATGGTTGATTTGAGCCAGACCCGTGGCCAGACGATTGTGCTCCCTAGCCATAAGCGTGTGCATGCAGGTCAGCACCAACTGCTCGTTAACACGGATCTCACCGCCTTCGAAGCAATACATGCTTTTGTTAGGGCGCGTGCAGCCCTCATCGGGTATGTCCAGTTTCAGAGGCAGCAAATCCTTCAAGCCATACTCCTGGAATACGGGATTCATGCGCATCAGGCCGCCGTAGCCAGTGCGCAGCTTGCGCGCAAATGATTCCTTAACGCCATAAACAGTGTTGGCATCAATGACGCCAGTCAAGGTGTTAAACTGCTGGCGAGAACCTGAATTGGAATGAAATGGGCTAGTGATATCATCGATAATCAGTGTTAAGTTAAGGCGCTACTCACCCAAGCGACAGCCGGGTCTTGGTGATGGGAAGCCGCGCACGAAATCAATACACTTGACATTAAAGAGCCGATAAAAGTAGTCGTCATCGGGAATGCGTATCTCATTGCAATAGGGATGCTTCCGGTGCAGCGGTCGCTTGCAGCACTCCTCGGGATCGTTGCGATTAATGGGATCTACAATCAGATGGAATGGCTCTTTTCAACTATTCCGTTCACACAGTTGCTTGACCTACCCAAAGGCGTGCCAGTCAGCGTAAAGTCGTGATCCATGAACTGGCCCCAGGCAATGACCATAACGGTGCCCGCGTGATCATGATACCCATCATCTGGATGCATTGTGCGCGAGACCACACGCGAGTAGGGCAAGTCGCGGCCGGTAACCGAAATGCGCGGTGCATTGATGCCATCCGCATAGAGTGGACCAATCAGGCGCTGAAAAGGCGCATTGGTAGCGCCCCAGGTGGGATGCTCAATATTGTTGCAAAGCCCATCGAAGCGGCGATATTTGCCCGGTCGGCACTCGACGCCAGCAAAGAACGGTGGGCAGACCTCGCGAATCAGCGTCTTGGAAGTGTCTATGTTGGGCAGACCTTTCTCGATTTCCTCATAGGATAGGCCATAGCTGGAAGAAACGATTGTAGATTAGTTGCCTGCCAAGTATAGCTAAGTGTTGACAAATTATATCTAACTACTTATATCTGAATTGCCTGCCAACAACTGCGGATATCGCCCAACATGGCATTTTCCTGTCGTGTCAACTGTTTGGTTCTCCTTTGAGTGGATATTTTTCAATCTTGTCAAAGATTGCAAAATTATCGAATTAGCCCAGTTCGGCACGCAATTAACGCACTTTTGGCCCGGCTTACGGTGACAGACATTGATGCTGATATTTGAGATTTGACGTTGACATCAATGGCAAAATATTCGCTTTCAATTTAACTCACTTGCCGTTTTATTGAAGCCGACTGTGGCCCGTGAATTAAGCGCTGGTAATCTTTTATCTATTGCTGCCAAAAGTGCCGAAAAACTAAATGGAAAAACTCTGCTGTTGCAGCATAATAAATTTGCGTCGGACACTTCCTCAAGTGCATGGGAAAGTGAGAAAAACTGCAGTAACCTGAGCAATGGAAAGGCAGCTGAGGCTAGGGCGAACCCATTGTTGTTGGCTCTGAAGATAGTGCAAACAGATATGAAGTGAGAAAAAAACTTAACAGTCAATTGGCCTGGCAGTTAAATGGACCGAAGGTCCATAAATTAAACTAGCTGAGGAAATGGCCAAGAAAAAAGGTGCTGTTAAAAGAAAACTTTCAAGCAGAGTATTAAAAGCCTTTCGAAAAGCATTGTAAATTAACTGATCCCTGACTAAATTGAAAAGAAATTTACTGACTTTAGACAATCAACTTCTCGATATTGTATACATTATATAAGTTTCCTGAAATTCAATTAAACAAGAACCCCTATGCATGTACTTTTGTATATCCAATAACAAATTTTGAAAGCAACCCACAATTCCTTAAGCTATGAAAATAGTTTTAATTCATGCTGTTCGCAGCTGGAATCAACACACCTTTCAGATAATGGACAAAAATATTGTTTTTCCCAACTTAAAAAAAGACTATTTTATTTTCAATTAACTGATCCACTTTGCAGCAAGCACAATCTGAGTTAACATAGCTGTCTGTAAAAATCCGAATCTTTATTAAAAAAAAATGTATAAATTAAATCTGATTTCATTCTAATCCTGCACCTTGCATAATCGACCACTAAAAAACTGCTCTAAACTGCCATAAAAATAGTTATAACATTTTTATCATATTTAACTGATATTAATTGAGCCGCCGACCAGAGGCCATAATCATAGGATTATACAACAGCAGCTGCAATGCTGATGATCCTCCTCGTACTCATGTTAGATGAGCTAAGCGCGGAGGGTGTCCACAGAAGAAAGTCGCATTGAAGCACAGGTTGCAACTGCGAATGGAACTGTGGAACGGCGGCTGTGACCAACTGACTTGGCAACCCGCTTACCCACAAACGCCAGTTGGCCAACCATAAAACTGGTAATGCTATGTTGCATCCTCAGCTGGCTCAGCTGCTTCTTGTTTTCTGGTCGGGGGCAGCTCACTCTCACTGAGGCTGCCATCCCGAAGAGACGATGCATTGCATAATATTGCTTTTGTTTACATTTTGCGCAGCGAGCACAACAAATAGCTGGCAAAATTTTTGGAAGCGAATAGAAATAAAAAATGGAGTTGAGCCAGTTTGAAGAAGTTTGCAGATGGCGCATCGACAGAGTCAGGCTAGCACATGACTGCAGGTGGCCAAGTGGCCATCAGTCAAAGCCACCGACAGCGGCGACGACAGTAAATTTGGCATTGCAATTAGCATTTGCATGTGCCAAACTTTCAAATTCATCCAATCCGCAGAACCTTGAAGCCAGGCTCAGCACCAGTTCGCTTTAGTTCAATTCCAGCCTCAAACTCATACATATTTATGACTGCAGGCGGTCTGGACGGGCTGCAGCAACAGTAACAGCGTCAGCATCAGCACGAGCACGAGCACGATTTAAGTGCCATGTCATGCGTTATTTGGCAATCATTTATTGGGGCTGTGGGCGTGCCAGGCGCAACTTTCAAAATGCGTTCAACATTTATTACCGTAACATTTACTTACGTGCGCGCCAACTGTATGGATATATCGAGCAGCAGCTCGCCCACAGTAGCCAGCTCCTCGGGCTTCCAATCGGACTTGGGCTCGGCCACATCTGCAAAGTGCATGAGATATATAGATGTAATATGAATAGTGTGCTTATCTGTGCATTGTTTAAACGTATCCACACTTACGTATACGCTTGCGTGCATCCGAATAGGCCGCATTGATGGCATCGTAGGTAATGCAAGTGCCCGCACCGCTGCTGTAGGGGTTTCTGCAAGGGAAGGGCAAACAAGAAGATTATTGAATGCTA